TGTTTTATGCTGTTAATGTGCATCGGTGAACTGTTCTTTGCATTCACAGTGCATCGATTGGTTTGTGATTGATACTCTCTGGTTATTTATTAATTTAATTTGTTGGATTGTGGTTGGGTTGTTGGATTGTTGCTATTATTGCTGTTTTCTTGTTTTGGCTTTGGCATTCTGGACTGTTTCTTGTTGTGGCTACAGCAGTCTGATAATTTGGCTTATTTGGTTTATTATTGCTGGGTTTTTTGTTCTGCTGGGTTTTTTGCTTATTTGGTGGTATTGCTTCTTCAGGCTGTTGAGTTTGAATTTGACTATGGTACGTATTGATAATTGTTACTATAATGGCAAGTGGTCACTCTGATTCACTTCAAGCCATTAGTGTGAGACTAATTAGTGAAAATTATGTTTATTGGACTTATGTTATGAAAAAAAATTTGTTGGAAAAAGACATGTGAAATTACATTAGTGGTGTTGTACAGCCTCCAACTGATACTAAGACAGAAAATTATGCTGATTTGAAGAGTACTTGAGATATCAATAATGCGAAAATTATCACTTGGATTAATAACTCAGTTGATCAAACCATTGGGGTTCATCTATCCAAGTTTACCACTGCTATGGAGATTTGGGATTATTTGGCCACACTTTTGGTTCAGTCTAATTTTGCAAAGAGGTATCAGCTAGAGAATGAGATTCGAGATGCGCGACAAGGGGACAAAACCATCCAAGAATTCTACTCTGTTATGACTAGCTTCTGGGATCAATTATCACTTACTGAACCCACTGAGTTGAGCACTAATTTGGTATATCGCACCTTCAAAGAGGAACAAAGGTTGGTGCAATTCTTGATGGCCCTTAGGGATGACTTCGAGAGACTTCGTGGTTCCATTCTTCATCGCCATCCACTCCCCTCAGTGAATGTAGTTGTTAATGAGCTCTTAGCTGAAGAGGTTTGCCTTAAAACCCTTTCTGGAAAAGGGTCTTCTTCCACTACCAAATCAAATTGTCTTGGCTGTTCCTTCCAAAGTGGTCTCTAATTCCCAAAACAAATATCGAGGTCGAGTTGCATCTGATGAGTGTAGCTTCTGTCGTGAAAAGGGTCATTGGAAGGCCCAATATCCAAAGTTGATGAACAAGAATGCACAAGGATCTCAAAATCAGTCATTTAGGTCCAGAGATCGTCATACAGCGGCCGTAGCACCACCAGTGGATGAGTCAACTTCATCAGCTCCCAACCTGAGTATGCTTGCAGATTAGCTACAGAAGTTTCTTTCTCTTCATCAGCCTGGTGCTCTCACAGTTTCTCCCACTATAGGTTCGTTCAGCTCAGGTCCTTCAGGTATTTCTCAAACTGCCTGGGTCTTTGACTCAGGTGCAACACATCATATGACCAGTGACTCCTCTTTGTTTGCATCTATTGTTTCTCCGCCCTCTTTATCTGTCCTTGCTGCCAATGGTTCTCACATGTCATTAGTTGGTGTTGAGACAATTATTTCTTTCAACATTACACTTTTCGATGTCTATTATATTCCTCAACTTACTTTGAATTTACTTTCAGTCAGTCAACTATTTGATTCTGGACTTTTGGTTCATTTCTCTTCCTCTGGTTGTGTTGTGTAGAATCCACGATCCAAGAAACTGATTGGGACTGGTCGTAGACAGGACGGGTTATATGTATTGGAGGAGCTGCATGTCTCAGTTGCTGATGTTGCTGCTTCTGCTGTTGATTTATCTTCTTTTCATTTGAGTCCAGATTCATCTAGTTTTTATTTATGGCATTCTCGTCTTGGTCATGTTTCTTATTCTCGTTTAAAATTTTTAGCTTCGACTGAGAGTTTGGGTAGTTTAGAAAGCCATTACATTTCTGATTGTAGTGGATGTAAGTTGGCTAAATTTAGTGCATTGTCATTTAATGAAAAGGTTACTTTTTCTATTGTATCATTTGATCTTGTTCACTCTGATATATGAGGACCAGCTCCTATTCCTACATAAGGAGGGTCCAAATATTATATTTTATTTATTGATAATTACACGCGGTACTATTGGGTATTCTTGATGAAACATCAGTCTGAATTCTTTTCTATCTTCATTACCTTTCGTAACATGGTACGCACTCAATATTCTGCAGTCATTAAATGTTTTCGATGTGATAAGGGCGGTGAATATACTTTTACTTCTTTTCATGATCTGTTGAAATCTAATAGTACACTTTATCAATCTTCTTGCACTAACACACTTGAGCAGAATGGTGTTGCCGAACAAAAACACCGTCATATTCTAGAGACAGCACGTTCCTTTCTTTTATCAGCACATATTCCCAGCTCATTTTGGGGGGAAGCAGTTTTGACAGCAGTTTATTTGATCAACACCATTCCTACTATGCTCACCTCTGGAGTCTCTCTATTTGAAAAGTTATGTGGTAAGCCACCTAACTATTTTTCTTTACGTGTGTTTGGTTGTACCTGTTTTGTTTTACTCCCTAGTGTTCTTCGTACCAAACTTTCTGCCCGTTCAACTTTGTATATTTCTTGGTTATGGTGAGGGTCAAAAAGGGTATCGTTGCTATGATCCCATCACCCGCAAACTTTATGTCTCTCGTTATGTTGTTTTTATGGAGCATACTCCCTTCTTCTCAATTCCATCTAGCTCTTCCTCATTGAATAAGTCTGACCTGCTATACATTGATCCCTTTCCTACCAATGTTCCTCATGATACATATGTTGGTGATATACCTGTGTCAGATCCTTCATCTTCTGAGTCAACTATTACTCGTCCCCCTATTGTGCATACATATGTTCGCAGGACTCCAGTTATCTCCTCTCCGGATGCAGTGCCTCCCCTTTCTTCTCCGGCCGCCCAATCATGTTCAGACACCGTGGATCATACCCCATGCTATCCTCAGTGCTCTCGCAAATGTCCAGACTGGTTTGATTGGAGTAATACTTGTTATTCTTCTGACTTTTTCTCTTTCTTTACTTCTATTCATTCTCTATCTGAACCCTCCTCCTACAAGGAGGCATTACTTGATCTACTTTGGAAACAGGCTATAGATGAGGAGTTGTCTGCCTTACATAAGACTAGAGCCTGGGAGCTAGTGTCCTTACCGCCTGGTAAACGCACCATTGGTTATAAGTGAATTTATAAGATAAAAACCAAATTAGATTATTCAGTGAAACGATATAAAGCTCGATTAGTAGCCAAGGGGTTTGCTCAAGAATATGGTCTAGATTATGATGAGACTTTTACTCCTGTTTCCAAGATGACTACTGTTCGCACCATGATTGCAGTTGCTGCCATTCGACAATGGAGTTTGTCTTAAATGGATGTGAAAAATACATTTCTACATGGAGACTTGACTGAAGAGGTTTTTATGACACCTCCCCCTAGATTATCTTATAGTTCTGGTCAAGTATGTTGCCTTCATCGTGCCTTATATGGTCTTAAACAGGCTCCCAGAGCATGGTTTGTCAAATNAGTTTTTATGACACCTCCCCCTAGATTATCTTATAGTTCTGGTCAAGTATGTCGCCTTCATCGTGCCTTATATGGTCTTAAACAGGCTCCCAGAGCATGGTTTGTCAAATTTTCTTCGGTTATATGTGACTTGGGTTTTCGTGCCGGTGACCATGATTCTGCTCTCTTTTTATGGTCTACTTCCTCAGGTTCTATTATTCTCTTACTATATGTTTGATGATATGATTATTACGGGTGATGACACTGCTGGCATCTACTTATTGAAAACCCAGTTGCAGGATCATTTTGAGATAAAAGATTTTGGGCAGCTTAGATATTTCTTGGGTATTGAGATTGCTTCCTCTCCTAAAGGATATCTTCTCTCTCAATCCAAGTATGTTTCAAATGTTATTGAACGAGCTCGTTTATCAGATAATCAGACAGTTAAGACACCTTTAGAGCTCAATATTCGTTACTCTTCGTCTAACGGTACTCTCTTATCTGACCCAACCCTCTATCGAACTATTGTTTGGAGTTTAGTATATCTTACAGTCACTTGTCCGGATATCTCTTATATTGTTCATATTGTGAGTCAATTTGTTGCCTCACCCACCACCGTTCACTGGGCTGCTGTTCTTCGAATTCTTCGGTATCTCTGTGGTACTCTATATCAGAGTTTACTCTTTCCTCACTCTTCATCTATGGAACTCAAGGCTTACTCTGATGTTGACTGGACTGGTAATTCTATGGATCGCAAGTCCACAACTGATTTCTGCCTGTTTCTCAGGGATTCTCTTATTTCCTGAAAAAGCAAGAAACAAACTATTATTGCTCGTTCTTCTGCTGAAACTGAGTATCGTGCTATGGCATTTACTACAGCTAAGATAGTCTGGTTACGATGGCTCTTTGTTGATCTTGGCATTTCAGTATCATCCCCTACTCCTATGTTCTGCGACAACACCAGTGCTATTCAAATTGCTCATAATTCAGTCTTCTATGAGCGCACAAAATACATTGAGATTGATTGTCACTTTGTGCGTCATCATCTGCAGCAGGGCACCATCACTCTCCCCTTTCTTCCTTCCACGATGCAGATAGCGGATTTTTTTACGAAGTCTCATACCATAGCACGTTTTAAATTTTCCTTCTTGGCAAACTCTTGATGTTTTCTACCACATCATGAGTTTGAGAGGGGGTGTTAGAGTATTCATAATAAGGGTAGTTTAGGCATTTTCTTTATGTTGTATTGTCCTACTATATAAGAGTTACTTTGTGTATTTCTAGGTTAAGCTGTGTATTACAGACTTCCTAAATGAATAATCTATTCTTCCTTTCTCTTCTCTATTCTCATTGATCAATTCTAACAAGTAGGGGATGTTCTATTTAAGAGGAGAAAACACAGAAAATGCCATGCATTTATCATAAAAGAATTGTAAGCCACAAGCGAAAAACCATGAAAACTAGATATGAGTTTTTTGTTTGATAACAAGGTACGAGTTTGACAAAGTGAAAGTATCCAATTGCATAAAACAACAATAATGAAAAAATATGTTTTAACATTCCTTTCCATATTTGTTGTGATTGGAATAACATGAGAATGCGTAGGCAAGTAAGCATACATACCAAAGCCATTGGCTCATGTGTTGCGCCATTGCAGCATAGCTTTTATGGGGATGCTCGTTTAGCAAGCAATGAATCTGCCCATTCGGACAATGCATGGCATATAAGATGGACAACCAGATATCAGCTGGCCCACTGTACTTGCGTAAAATGCTAGTGCTAACCTGGAATGTGAAAATAAAATTCAGGACTTGTTAATTGTCTCGTAAAATAAAGGATTTAATACTCACTGTGGTCCCTAAATTATGCATCAAATCTCACTTTAGTATCATAACCACTAATCATCTATAAAGTTCAAAATTTATGTTTAATGGTCCAATTGATGATTGCCATGAAAATTGGCAACAAAAATTGCCCATGGGTTTTTACCGTGAGGTTTTGGAGTCAACATATGGAAAAGGGACCCAAACTGGGATCAGACAGGCCAAAGCTGACCCATGTCTCCTTTTGCCCTCTATCCCTTTCTCTTACCCAAAGGTACCAAATAAAAGAAGAATAAGCAAGATGAAAGCCACAATCTAATTCATATTTGGAGACTGAGTTAGAAGATTAAGAATGATTGGCTAATGAACTTATATGATGTGTTCAACAGCATACCCCCAAAACAGTTGGTAGACACCAGTAAAATAAGGAAACTGAAATATGATAAAGACATATTGAAAAGAAAACTCACAAGCTCCCAGGCTTCAACATTTCTTTGTGAAGTATCATGCAAGAGCTTCCTGCTTAAAACTAAAAAAAAATCCAAATGAATATCATAAGCTGTTGTTTTGCTGAACATGCTACTATGTGAATTAAATCCATATGCGAATCATAATTCTAGATTGAAGACATGGAGGTAATGCCTAACAAAGCAGAAGTCACCGAGTCTAAAGTTATAATGTGAAAGAAGAATAAAGATGACAAAGAATACAAGGAGCCTTTTTGTTTAGTTGATATGTTCCTCTCATTTGACAGAAATGCCTGACAAGAGACATGGGCCACATTCAATCCCTATCCACATACTCTAGAAATGTTGATCCATACTGGGGTACTTCACCAACTTATAAGACTCAATCTAAAATGGAACTTGGTACTAATGTCAAAGAAGCATAAAAGTCAAAATATACTCACTGTACCCCTCGGTTCACATCGCAATGATTACAATGACCTGAAACACCATAGTCATCAAAAGCAATAACCTGAAGCACAAAAATCAAAATGAATTTATGAAACACAAAAAGCAATAATTAAGTCAGATAAGCATAGGTTTGTGGAACAATGTAAACCACTGGATCAAAAGCTTGGGAGAGCAACGTGAAATGCCAAAAATTTCACCACTCTTAACCACATAAAATTTCACTACGCTTGATCAGTTTCGTAAAAAGACAACTGAACAAAAACTAAGGAAAAAGAAACATGGATGATCAGAACCAGATCTTACAACATCAATGCCTCGAGTATGAACTTCCTCCTCAATTATACTTGCCACTAAGTTGCAGTTCCACACTTTGCCAAAACCATCCTAACAATGAAAATCAAATTATATTCTGTTTCCATGTGCATGATTTTTGAGGGACTTCAGAATAACCTGCAAATCTGGATGGTCCAGGATCTTTATTTGTTGGAGTGGAACCTGCACGAGTGGATTCAAATATCGCAAATCAAAACCAAAAACCTAGGTCAAATCCTTCTCAATATTTATGCTGAACCAATTAGAGTTAGCACTATTCTTTATTTGGATTTGTAGAACTGGAAGAAGTTATGAAAGCAGAACTCATGTAAGTTGTGTAGAAAACAAGGAAGGCAGGGCCATGACAAAAAAATGCTTGATATCAGAAAATATGTATTACAACAGGCACGGTAAATCTTGAAAGATGCGTCAAATCATATAGCACCTTGAGGATTGCAGAAGCCTGATAGAGCTTTCTTTTCCAATGGCCCCCATTCCATTTGAATTACCTACATAAAATGTATAGCTGTGACAAATTAAGAATTTGACAGAATCACGGGGTGGATAGGCTAGATAAAATTTGTAATACCAAACAGGATTCTCGTGTTTTGGGAGGGATGCTCCGACAAGAAATTCAATTTTTTGTCCACTCAAGTAAGTCAATGTCTGACAACTTGAGCATTATAACAAAAATTAGCTTAGTATGGACTATGAAGCATAGTTATCAAATCATGTATCGGAAGGTGTATCGTTTTTTAAAAATAGTATATCGTATCGTGTATCGTAAGATACGGTGTAATTTTAAATAATTAATAATAAAATATATGTTTACAAATTTTAGGGTGTCTAGATGTAATTTATTAACGGATATATTTACAACAGGGGTCTAAGTATTACATGTGTATAAACTTTAGGAGGTTTGTGTATAATATTTCAAATGTAAGGGGGTCTAAGTGATTAAGTAACAAACCTCAAGGGGTCTAAGTGTAATTTTTCCTNGTGTGTATAAATTTTAGGAGGTTTGTGTATAATATTTCAAATGTAAGGAGGTCTAAGTGATTAAGTAACAAATTTCAAGGGGTCTAAGTGTAATTTTTCCTATGTATGATCAGAAAGAAAAAAAAAAAAAANATGTGTATAAACTTTAGGAGGTTTGTGTATAATATTTCAAATGTAAGGGGGTCTAAGTGATTAAGTAACAAACCTCAAGGGGTCTAAGTGTAATTTTTCCTATGTATGATCAGAAAGAAAAAAAAAAAAAAAAACGAGAGACTTAGAGAGAGGGAAAGATCCCGGCTGAGAGATAGGAGTCGTCGAAGACGAGAGACTGAGAGAGAGGAGTCGTCGAAGGCTAAAGAACACCCAGGACCAGGAGTCGAAGACCAGTGAACACCCAGGAGGAGGCGCCGAAGGCTGAAGAACACTCAGAACCAGAGTCGAAGACCAGTGATGGCAGCAAACACTCAGAGTCGAAGACCAGCCAACCAACGAAGAAGGTAAAAAGGGATTTTATTTTATTTTTTTTTTGTAAACCCTAGCCACTGAAACGGGATAAAAAAATCAGTCTGTTAGCGCAAAAAGATGTCATTCCATAAAAAAAATAAATAAAAATAAAAATAAACAGTCGTTGCACGTATTGTGTATCGGACAATACAACGCAAAAAAGATACAAAATTACGATCTGTATTGTTTTACTCCTGTATCGTGACGTATAGTACGATACATATCGCGTATCGTACGATACTAACAACATGCTATGAAGTAATGAAAATGATTTCTAGGTACTAGTTCATTAGATTATAAACATATAGATTAATTTCAATAGCTTCCTAGAGGCATTGATTGTTTAGTTTAGAAATGGATTCAGGTCCCATTTTTGGCACCCAGTAATATAATTTTTCTTTAGAATAGGTCCAGATTAACTTTTGATATTCTTATTGTTACATCTTTACACAAATGCCAGCTCAGTTATGAAACCAATGTAAATAATGACATTTTTCAATGGACACATATCCTATGACATTCATGAATCAATAACAGCATATTACCGGTTGATATGCACAATATGTGAAGATTATGTCCCCTTGAACTTAGGTAATTAATTGTCGGAGTAAAGAACCTGCAGAAATGAAACAAAGGTTTCCATAATAAACAAAATCAGATTGCATAAATATAATCACGATGATATATTATTTGAAAAACAGAAACTAACCTTATTACTTAATTTAACAAAATGCCTCAGAGGTCTTTTAAAACTATGTTGAGCAAGTAATTTTCCAGGAGTCTCTAACTCAGCAACCTGATTCCTATTAACATGCATTCTTGTCATCATAGTTTTTTTTTTTTTGATAGGAAATATATCTCTTGTATTAAAATTAAAAAGTGAGAGTACATGAAGAGAGATTGAATAAGCATAGCTTCATCCTATTAAATTGCTTGTCATCATAGTAAAACTCACAAAAATGAAGGTTTTAACTTAAAACTGATTTGTTTCAACTAAATTAAGGTGCTGATTAAGGACATGGGTGACACTCCATAACCATGCTGCATAACGGAAATCCACAAGGCTACAAATAAACAATTTAAGGATGAAGCTACAATGAGTGGGAAAGGTCAACTTAAATCATTTTTAATATTAGCAAGTAAAAACTATGAGTTAAAAACAGATCTTTTGGATTTTCAAGCATACATAGACTCATCATCAGGATGGGCAATAACCAGCAGGTCATTTCTGTTGTGAAGAGCTCCAACTGATATTTATAGAAATCGGTAATTGAATATGATCAACAGACCCATCTTAAAAATTAAACGGAACAAGAAACATTAAAAATATTACCTACCATCACTATTCAAGAATTTAGCCTTGGCAGGTGACCATCATGTATAAAGAATTTTGCAGAGAAATGCCACCCAGACAACCATCACTGAAAAAATAATTATGAACCATGCCATCTAGCATGCTTCTAGAACAGTATTAGCACACAATGCTGTAAATCTCAACAAGAATACTTAAATGAGATTCAATCAATTAGGCATGTTGAACATCAACAAATATGAGGTTATATATTCTTCAACATCATATATGCATGTTATTGTTGTGGACGGCAAAAACATCAGATATCTCATTAAAACCCATGACCCAGCTATAGTTTTAGCAAAACATTTTATCAGAAAACTGGGTCACAAAATTGAAGGCTGGCTGAATAAGGAATCCATCTCGATTAAGCCTAAGGGTAATCTTGATATCAAAAAGAGTGCATGAAAAAATAGATTATATATGAGTCTATAGTATTGTTTAACAGAAGTCTCATGCTAAGAAGCAATGATGTTTTTAAGAGGGTGACTTATCCGTATCAGACACTGACACTAAGACAATCTTAGTCACATGTGTCCAACACTGTTATCCGTATCCATAATTAAATAAAAAAATATTAATTTCGAGCATTTGTCTAACAGTTTTTTAGGTTGTGTCTACTAGTAAACAATAAACATATGTTGACATGCAATTAACAATGCTTAAAAATTAGACACATGACTATCTTATATACGAGAGAAAAAATAATTGTTTAGACTAATCAAGCTCAACTGGTACTTCAAATTTACTAATAAAAGAACAAGATGCAAAAACATTGTGCTAAAAAAGAGAAATTGAGAAGATTAGAGCAATCATTTATTTTAACCATGTATATTTGCTCCACTTTGTCTATAAAAAAATCAGTGATTATTGACTATATGGTCCTTTAGTTTAAAAATTCAAATGACTAAGCATAAGTTTTTTTTTTATCAAACTTAACATAAAATTTACTTGCCATATAATACTGCACTTCTTACGAATATTACTATCACTATATCTATGCTTGTGATAAAATTATTTGTAATGTGTTCCCTCCATGTCTTACTATTTTCAGAAATATCATATCATATTTGTGTCCCGTGTCTGTATTCTTACTTTTTAGGTCTGAGGCTAATCACTGCAATATGACTGAACTACATGAACAATATCACCATCTATAACAACAAGTTAGCCCATAAATATCTTTTTCCAATAAGTTCAACAGGACATCACCCATAATATGGTCCAATCATTTTTTTTAATGTCTCCAAAACTTGGGTTTGATGTACTGGAATACTTGGACTTGGAAAAGCTTAATACCTATGAATATGATGACAAATAACTGTGTGTGTTCAAGCATCTTAGTGTTTCAGATCACCCAAGCACCCAAATCAGAGAAAATGCAGTTACTTATAAAAACAACAACAATAATCTTTCTTCCTTCTACCAAGTAATACAATCATAATTTATACATACTAGACCCAATTGGAGTAAGAACTTAGACTATATGACCGAAGATTTCTTAGAAGGAGATGAAAAGGGAATGGAATCACACATACGGAGCTCGTCAAACATATTTTTATCAAAGAGGAAGAAAAAAAAAAAGCAGGTGGGGGCTCATATTTAACTCTGCATTCCCCTTTTCTTTGTAGCTTCGTTCATAACAACTCAAGTCCACAAGGTGTAAACATTGGTTTTACCAGCACCAACAACTAGTTAATTACAAAACTGCAAAGGACATGCATCTATTCTACATTTGAATATTGGACATAAATTGAAAGAAACAATATTTTCATCCAACAATCAGTTACACGAGACAAAGATATTTATCTTTCATCTTTTATGCTGAAACAGTGATTCTGGGTGGGAATCAGGATAGTCATTTGTATAAGAAAAATGAGGAGGATTGGAGTAAAGAGCGGATACGGAAACTTGACCAGGAACAAGATAACGAGAAGTGGGTTTGCCTGGGGTGGGTTCACTTTTCTGCCCTTTCCTCCCACGATTAAAGGATTTGCTCAATAAACCTATCTTACTCTAATAGGTTTCTGCGAGACTCCTATAACACTCCATCCAAATCCGCCATGCTATTTGAACCTAATTTGAGAGTCTAATCTAGAGAGTTAATCAATTACAGCTGTTGGATTGATAGTGGATTCTATCCAACATTGAAACTCATAAGTCATAACTAATCAAATGATTGCACTGAATTAGGTCCTCAATTAGATCCTATAGAATTGCTCTTTGTGTAAATAAATCAAAGATGAGGTATGTAACCAGTCCACCCTCCTATAACACTCCATTAACTCCCTTTATGACCCTTTACACACACACACACACATACACACAAGTCGCATAATAGAATCAATTTCAACTACTACCCTTGTTTGGTTGCTAAGAACATATTGAAAAACTAAAGAAACCAGAGTCGTAAATTTCTGTTTCTCGGATCATTGTAGTGGAATCCTGGTTCTTTTTGCTTCCAAGCAACCAAAAAAATAACGCCAAAGAAAAGCAGACAACCAACATTTCTTTTGATTCTCTACCATTTTTCCTAAACAAAAACAGGGCTGGCTCACATTAGATTAATCACCAAATCGTAGCTGTGAGAGCTTACCTAATTGTTGATCAGATAGCAATGTCGCTGTAGTAGTGAATAAAAACGACGGGGAGAGGGAGAGAGAGAGAAAAAGAGTCCGTGTTCGGGATTGTTAAGATTGATTTGGAAGTCCGAGACAACGATAAAGTCCACGCNGGATAGAAAGAGAGTCCGTGTTCGGGATTGTTAAGATTGATTTGGAAGTCCGAGACACAACGATAAAGTCCACACTGCACCGGTCTGTTAACGTGTGAGGCTGACACGACTGCGTGTCAAAAAATTCTCAACTCAAATTTCATTTATTTATAAGGGTTAATTATATTGGAGTTGTTCAAAATATGGAATTTATCTTCTTTTAATTTTTAATGTTTTAATTGTATTATTTTGATTCTTAAAATATCAAATATATTTTTATACAGCCTCTCAAATAGATAGCGTCTAAATTATTAATAATTTTTTATCATAAACTTGTCACGTAATACCTAAAATATGAACAAAAAATAATTTTGATAACTCTTAAATAAAATTTGGATGACAAAAATGTGTAATATGTATCATTTTTTACCAATATTTGGATAGTGCATGATCAAAATTATATAATTTTGGTAGCAATTTAACCAAAATTTAAGTAAAAATTTGGTCAAGAGTTATTCAAATTATTTTTTTGTCCATATTTAAGTATCACGTGACAAATTTATGACAAAAAATTATTAACAATCTGAATGTTGTCTACTTGAGGGATCATATAGAAACATATTTAATCATTTTAGAACTAAACTAATGCTATTGAAATATTGGGGGACCAAAATGAGACAAATTTCATATTTTAAAGACCTCTAGTGCAATTAACGCTATTTATTAATTTATACCTAATATCATATCGAGTTCGAATCGTATCATTTTATTTTTTTTAATTGATTTACTCNATAACAGTTTGGAGTTTCACGGGCGCCGACGGATTTGGCCGAGCTGCCCATATTCTGCTGCACTATACCCCCGGGTATAAGAAGTTTTCACAGCTCCCTCAACCTTTCNGTGACAAATTTATGACAAAAAATTATTAACAATCTGAATGTTGTCTACTTGAGGGATCATATAGAAACATATTTAATCATTTTAGAACTAAACTAATGCTATTGAAATATTGGGGGACCAAAATGAGACAAATTTCATATTTTAAAGACCTCTAGTGCAATTAACGCTATTTATTAATTTATACCTAATATCATATCGAGTTCGAATCGTATCATTTTATTTTTTTTAATTGATTTACTCATACCCGATTCACTTTTTTAATTGTATAATGTCAGCTTCACTCATTCACGAAATTAAATGAATTAAGACTCAATACTTTCGAGTCATATTCATATTATATTAACGGTCCTATGTCATATTTTGACACCTCTAAATTATATAGTACAAGAGGGTGGATTGGTTATAATCGTAATGGATTTTGGTTTTTGGCTAACTATCTGAAGTGTAAATTATACTTGGACTCCTTAATCATGACTATTTTTTACATCGTCTCCTTAATTATTATTTTTTACATTATAACATCAATTATGTAATACTTTTCGCATAGCCCAATTTATTAATATTTATTACAAATATAACAAAAAATTATTTATTTTGTCCCCTGAAGAATGGAATTTTTTCAGTTTGTCTCCCTATGTCGACAATTTTCATTAAAAAAGATTACTAACTTTCGCGATTGAAATAATATAAAATAACTAAAATAGTTAAAAAGATAATATAAAAAATTTAATAGTTTAAAGGACGGAGTAAAAGTGAGTACATAATTTAGAAAGTCAAAGTATAATTTATCCTAAATATAATTTATATATTCATTTTTGACGACATAAAACCTGAGTATTATTAATTTCAAAAA